ACAGCATATGAAATATCTCCCTTGAAATGTTAATGAACTGAAAACAAATTGATTCCATTTCCTGTCCATTCATAGGGACTTAATACTTGATAAATTGCTCAGCAACATTAATCGAGGGCTTGGTAGCATGAATACGTTTGAACGAAGAAGTTGGGAGATGATGCTTTGGTTGCTATCTTTATACACAAAAGCAAAGAGCAGCACTGCTGCATCAAACCTGATGTGGTTTAATGTTAAAACAACCTACATCAAGTCTCCGAGTGGAATTGAAAAAAATTATTTAAGCCAGTGGCATTAAAAAGAGCTAGAAAATATTAGTTAAGAAATGCCACCATAATGATGGTGCCATTATGTTAATGGCAATTACTGAAGCTAAGGTTATTTGTAATTTGCTAGCCTGAAAAATAAAAGTTACATATAGTCCATTATCCATCAGATGACAGAGGTTATGTAATGGGCAGGCCACTCTGGCTTTCACATTTACTTCAGACATCTGATGGGGAGAAAAATAGGATTTTCTGTGATAGGATAATTGCATAGTGGAGAGTAATTCAAATAGGGGATGAGTATGATAAAAATCACTCTGATTCAACTAATCACTGGGAAAAGTGATGGGGGGAAATGATGAAATCAAGCCCGAAGAGACAGAGAAAAAGATCAACACTGTTTAACAGCCAAGAGGTGACAGGCATGTTAAAGGACTGCGTTACCCTAATACTCTTTTTTTCTCCCCCTAGCACTAACTGCACCTCCCTCTACCAAACTAAAGGTGTTACTACAGTTTTCTAAATTGCTACTGCCAGTCTCATAAATATTTTATATACATCAATGGAAATTTTAATAATCAGCATTTTTTGTGAGCTAGCTTTTTCCTCTGTGTTCTTGAGTCCTCCCAGCCATCCACTATCAATAAGCACTTGGTGCTAAGTCAGTTATTGGCAGGAAGGCACTAGGGGAGGCACCAGGGCCTCTAACCTGACTCGGATTGCTGGGGACGGGGATGAGGATGGGGGCTCGGAAAGGGGAGGTTGCTAGGCATAGTGCATGACATGGATGGAGCAAATTCTAAGATCCAGTGTTTTCCTGGGACATTTGAGAAGGGGGTCACTGCTCATTGTGTGGCATGGACTGGAAAGGCAGGGCCTGGTGCACAGTGGAGCATTCTAGTGCAACGTGGCAAGCGATGACTCCACCGCAAACGCACCGGCAAATTGGAATTTGAGGTCTTTGCACTTCAAAATATCACAAGTCCCATGGGCAATAGCAACCTTTCCTATTGGAGAAGTGAGGTGTAATTGTAGTATGAAAAACAGTCACACCCACTGCTCCCCTGGCCTTAATATAAGCCAACATCCAGGAGGCCTGTCAGTGGCCACCTCATCTCACTCCAAATGCCACATGGTCTGTGACTGTTGCCAATGGAGACGCACAGTCCACACAGGGACCAGGCTGATCTCAATAATGAAACTGTCTCCAGACAAAACCCTGACTTGATATACAAGCCCTCTTTCCTTTTTAAAGATTGGGAGCAGGAGAGAACCACATATTGCTGGACCAGCTACCCTAAATTTTATGGCATCAAGTGTGCTTACAAAGGGCCTTGTGTTCTATTTTAAAATACATAAAATATGTAATTCTGAGAATCTTGGATAGCTTTACTCTGGGAACATTTCAATTCAAATAGAGCAAAAAAAATTTTTTCCATCTCCAAGGAACCACATCAACCATATCAGTCTTTTTTATTTTCACCTCACTAATTTAAAGCAAAAAGGTTTCAAACTTAGGTTCCCTCTTGTCATCATCCAGGGACTTCCTGAGGCTTCAAGACTCTCTCACTATTACATATTCACAAACTGGGAGGTCCTGTAACCAGCATTAAGAGCAAACATTTACTGAACCTTTACTGTTTGCCAGGCCTGTGCTAAACACTTGACACAGATACACACAGAGACACTATAATCCTACAGCCTGGGTGCCAATGGAACTCCACTGAGCCTGCCCAAGTAACCAGGGCCAAGCCTGTTTGCTCATCTCTAAACCAATGATAGTAACATGTCTCATTCCCAGGGCTGATGCAAGAATGAAATGAGGTGGCATGTGCAAAGTACTTGGCACAGGACCTGGTGCCTAGTGAATTCAATAAACATAGCTAAGGATTAGTAAGTCATCCTAACGTCCTAACGTCTCCAGGGAGCTGAGTGAGGAGAAGAGGTCCAATGGGCTTATTCAGCTTTTCTCACCAGCCTCACACCTTGGGGCAGAACTGAGATTCGGAACAGTTCTCTCTATTCCAGAGCCCATGTCTCACCCACCACGTGGGCCCCTGCCTCTGAGTGCCCAGGTCCAGGGTCTGCTGCTGATTAGAACTCTGCATGACGGTAGCATGATTCACAAGCCCCCATGAATTCCAGACAGCAGGCCTCCTTTTTTGTCAATTGCAGAGACAGAACCTAAGTATATTCATGTCCCTTTCTACTACAAAATTCTGTGATTCACGAAGAAATCCAATTTGGGATAATAATGGCATTTCCTTCTCTCAATTGACAATGTTGTTACTAGTATTTAAAACAAAACAAAACATTTGTATTCATTTTTTGAGGATTCAGGAAAATGTGCATTCACACACCACTCCTGCTGAAGGACTGCGGATTGGCATGAACTTATTTGGACAGAAATATTTTCATATGCATAAAGAGACTTAAAGATGGGTTCAGAGCCTCAGAACTGTCTCTGTGTTTGGGAATTCATCTTAAGGAAATCAGCATACACTGAAGGATGCGATGCTGAGGGCATGGAAGTGATGAAGGAAGTGGACTCTGGGGTCCCTGTGCCTGAGGTCCATCCCCCACTCCCCAGGTAACCTCACGGAAGTGACTTAACTTCTGCTCTGAGTCTCCTCTTTAGTAAAATGAGGATAATAATAGTAACTTCCATCACAGGGCCGTTATCAGGATAAGGCCTATATATACTTCATGTATATGAAGTCCTTAGAGAAGCACCCAACACGTAGTGGGTGCTGTCTACTGATCTGCTGTTAACATACAAGAAGATTTACTTCAGCATTATTTATATCAAAGCTTACAAACAACTTAAATATCCAGATACAGAGGAATGTCAAATCAATTATGACACACGCACCCATAGACTGGAATGTTATGTAGCCATTTAAGAAAATCTCCAAACACAGTGACACAAGAAAATGCTCACACTATAATGGGATAAAGAAGTGAAAACAGCTGGATACAACAAAAGCAAACAGGCAATACTATTGCTAATTTGATAAAAGAAAAACACATACAAGGACATGCACAGAAGTGTAAAGAAAAAAGACTAGAAGGAAGAAAACAAGCGTTGGTTTCCTGCTGGGTGGTGGGACTTTTAGGTGATTTTTTTCTCTGTTTGATACTTTTCAGTATATTGTAAAACTTCCAACAAAGGTGGTGTTCATTTTATAAACAGAAAATAGTAATTGTGTGGGGTTTTTCTTAAATTTTTATCTCAGGGTTCTCTGACTGTTAGATTCAAATGCCTACCATGCTGCCCTGTCTGTGAAGAATACCACTTGCTTCAAGGGAGTGATATAGAGACACACCAGAGGCCACGATGCAGCTCCCAGGAATGGTTGTCAGTGCAGTATTTCTGTGGCAGATAAGAGCACTTTTTTTCTTTTAAGGCACTTCAGAGTTTCCACCAAGAAGTTTCATATTATTTAAATTAATAATCACAGTAACAGCAGAAGTTACTATTCACTGAGCACTGCTCACGTGCCAGGTTCTGTGCTAAATGGCTCAAAACCACAACTGTGTTTGATCTTCACACTCCCTGTGAGAGTTTTCCCCACTTTAAAGATGAGGAAATCGAGGCTCATGAAGGCTGTTTTACAGAAGGTTGAAGTTTAGTAAGTGACAAAGGCAGATACTAAACCCAGGTTCAAGCTCATGCTATTACCTAAACTACAGCCCCTCCTTCCCTAAATCAAAACAGTAGAAAAATGTTTTAGAAACAAGAAAATGTGTGGGATTATAAGGTCTAAAGCAGAAATATCTTGCGGAAATTTGGTTTGGCCAATTAAGGATGAGAAAAACTAAAATAGGAAATGGACTTCTATAATAAAGTCATTCTGGAAATAATAAAACTGAAAGGTAAGTAAACTATACTTTAGAAATAAAGAACTCTTCAGATTGCAATTCTTTCCCATAATCCTGTGCCAATATGGTATTAACACAGGATATTGCAACATTCACATGTCCTAAATCAAGAATTCAGATGCCCTGTTCTGTCAGCAACAAGGAATAAAGTTGGAGGCCATCTTGGAAATCCAAAACGATGCACATGTGCACTGCAGTTCCGTTCTTCCTGCTACTATAAAATTTCACGAGTAATGGCCTATATGGGTAAAGAATCTAAACAAGAGTTGGATATATGTATATGTATAACTTATTCACTCTGCTGTACACCTGAAACTAAAACAACATTATAAATCAACTATACTCCCCAAAAAAATTTTTTTTAAATTTTCAGGGAGCTCTTGCCAGTCCAGATAAACATTATAATTACAGTAATATTCCAATAGAGGTAAAAAGAACTTCCAACTTCATCTAGACTCATTTACCCCATAGAAATTTTCAATTCCATATTTTGGCAAACATTGCTTAAATTTTTTTACAATTGCTTAGTTCAACCACAACGTACCCTTGAATGTACTTTGGCAATTAATGAATGCATTACACAGCCAGAGGCCATCCTCTGTGGATGTGCAATTAGGGACACCTCCACTGAAGGTATACAATCATAAGACGAAAACTGGCACCTAAATCCTACGTGAAGAAAGGGTAATTGTGCCCCTAGTAACTGCTTATCCTAGTTAACCAGACTTAAGAAAGTGTGTACATCATGGCTGAGTCAACTTTGATCTCTGAGAGTTGGGTTCATCAATGCCAGTTGCCTGCAGCTGCCTTTGTGTCTTCAGGCAGTACAGAGCAGAAACCAGAGGCACTTACCCGCACTGCTTCAGACTTCTTGTGAAACATCTCTTCCATGTTCTTTGCCAGCTTTTTCACCAGTTGGAGACCATCTATTTCTTCTATGGTAACGTCTTTCTCATACTCTTTGTATTTCTGGAAGGAGGGAGGACAACATTAACATGGCACACGATACCATAAAACATCATGCCTACAATGTCAGAGCACATTTACCTAAAAGGAATAAGTAAAAATAAAGTTATAATATGGCTGTCTCTGCTGGATTTGGGGAGATTGGACTGTATTTCAAAATTATTAAACCAACTAGAGAGAAATGTGAAAACTGGCTCTGGTTCTCTTGAAGCTTAGCTAGCACCCAGGAAAAAAATAAACCCTAAAGCAATTAAAGCACAGCATCTGGGCTTCCGTGGTGGCGCAGTGGTTGAGAGTCCGCCTGCCGATGCAGGGGACATGGGTTCGTGCACCCAGTCCTGGAAGATCCCACATGCCGCGGAGCGGCTGGGCCCGTGAGCCACGGCCGCTGAGCCTGCGCATCCGGAGCCTGTGCTCTGCAACAGGAGAGGCCACAACAGTGAGAGGCCCGCGTACCGCAGAAAAAAAAAAAAAAGAAAAAAAGCACAGCATCTTATAGACATTTTATAATGTTAAAGTCCTTGCTGTCAATTTTAGTAATTCAATTCAATTCATTTCAATTACTGAGGACTTCCTATATATCCTCAAGGAACTCACAAAAAGAAGCATGTACACTAAGTACAAACAACATTAAAACAGCAACATTTCTTATATAAAAATAACCATTACATAAGATTTCATAATTTGTTAGTCTCCATAAGTGATTAATCTGACCCACAGTACACTCCAATTCTCAAAGACAACTTTTCATTTAAAACCTATCACATACCCTGGTAATTTATCTGTCTAAATCGGCAGTTCTCAAAGTGGCCCAAGAACCTCTGCAGGGTCCCTGAGACCCTTTCAAGGGTCCATGAAGTCCTCCTTTTTTCCAACAGCTTATATATATGAAGGCATGTCTTCTTACTTGATTTTAACAAGTCACAACAGATTGACCACAAAAAAAGGTATGAGAATCTACCTGTCTTCTCTTAAATCAACCCTTGAAAAGATTTGCAAAAAAGAAAAAAAAGCCACTCCTGTAATTTGTTTTTTAAAATAGTTATTTTTAATAAAATATGTTATGTACAATGTTAACATGCAATGAGTTTTTATGTTTTGAATTTGTTGATTTTTAAATTAATGAATTCTTGGTTTTAATTTCAAATGTGGCAAATATTTATACATACAACTCACGTAAGATCTTGGGAGTCCTCAATATTGTGTAAGTGTATGAAGGAATCCTAAAGCCAAAACGCTTGATATAACTAAACATTTAATTTTGTTCCTACTGGAAAGAAATATTGCTTATTAATTTAAAAAAGTTCCAAATGGAGCTCAAAATACTTTTAATGTTAAGAGGAATCCTTTACATTTATGTAGCTATGAAAAAGTCTGGAGAACTAAAAATATTGGGGGCCTTATATTTACCCTCATTTGGAGGGAAAACCTGAATCGGTTACTAACACCTTACCCCAAGCTCCTACTTGGGAAAAGCATAAGGCTCCACATGTTATCTGGGCTCTAGAGGCCTTGAGAGCAATTTCTGGAATGGAAGATATAACAACTTTTTAATGGCAGTTGTTTTTAATATAACAACTTTTTAAATTTTTAACATATAAATTTATATTTTCTCCCCATTTCCTCTACTTCTCCTTCAAATATATAAACCGGGAGGAGGTTCAGTCTTTCCTTGCCCCAAGGAAGGGAATGTGTGAGTCTGTGTGTGCGCGCACACGCATGTGTGTGTGACATAAAACGATTCCCTTCTTAGCTTAGATTTCCAAGTCCTTTGAGGCAATAACACTGGGTGTCCTAAAAGGACAAGATTAGAGTTTAAGGACAGAGGGAGTGACTCTAAGGAAACATATGTAGAGAGAGGATTCTTTCAACCCCTAAGACTAAAATGAAATCCCTAGAGCCCGTAGGCATCTGGCCACAGAGAGCTCCCAGTGCCCATTGGGCACTGGCAGAGCAGGACAGGAGGTCAGAAAAGCAGGAAGAGACCCTTGGACTGGGCACTGGGGCCTCAAACCTGGATGTCAGGTGCAGGGTTTGGAGTTTCTCAGAATTAAAGTGATCCTGAAGAAATTTTTAAAAGTGCTATCCTGGAGCACCTGAGTCTGGACCAAAACAGACATCTGTTACATGGTTTAGAAGATGCTCAGAGAGGCTCTGCATGGTCCTATAATTGACCATGAGGCGGTTTTTTTGTTTTTTTTGTTTTTGTTTTTGCTGTATGCGGGCCTCTCACTGTTGTGGCCTCTCCCACTGCGGAGCACAGGCTCCGGATGCGCAGGCTCAGCGGCCATGGCTCACGGGCCCAGCCGCTCCGCGGCATGTGGGATCTTCCTGGACCGGGGCACGAACCCGCTTCCCCTGCACTGGCAGGCGGACTCTCAACCACTGTGGCACCAGGGAAGCCCTGCACCATGAGTTTTAAGTGACATGCTTCTTCTCCCTGCTCCCTGAAAATGTCCATAAAAATCTTATGTGTTTATGTTGAGAGTCTTTCTCTTTCTTCTTCTAGCCTTCCCCTCCTCTTTGACAAGGTTGTCCTGGTTCCTCAAGGTGAGGAGGCTGCACCCTCCCTCCAAGCTCCCAGAGCATTCTGTGCTCATATCTCCTGGCAACACAGCTTGCATGGTCCAGGAGCTGAGGTCCTCATGGTCACCCGCCAGCCCACAGCAGACACTCATAGAACTTCTCTGGATGAAGCTTGTTGCAGAACAACTGCAATGCTACAGTACAAGGAAGATGCAAGTAAGGATGCAGCTGCACTGTCTGATGGTCCTGTAAGCGCGACCTCCCCACTCCTTGGGAGGTTGATGGGCTTGGCACAGGATGTGGGACTCCAGCCAGCCCAAGCCTGGCTCAGGCTAACAGTGTCCTCTGGTGTATGAATAAAACTTCAATAACAGTCACTGGAAACTTTCCCTAAGTTCAAATGCAAGCCAATGATCTCTTTGGAGCCAAAAATTCTGGGGGTTCTCTGCTGCCTGCCAGATGTGCTCCAAAAGCCAAGAACCAAGGCCAGCTTATACGCAAGGTTGATTCACTACCAAAAATACAAAGTTCAAGAAGTAAAACAAAACAAAGCTAATGTTAGTCTAATATTTACAGTCAGTGAAATAAATCTCTGTCTTAAGTAATTCTGAAACTAAAGGTGATCTAGAGGCTTAAGATAAAGAAAATGTATGTCACAATTAGCCTTTACCTAAATCTTTTGATCTTTATATTGGTCCTCATTATTCTGGTCATATCTATTATTTACATGTTTTTTTCTCCCAGTAGACTTCTAGAAGGGAATCAATTTATTCAACTCTGACTATCCACTGACTTCTCAATGAGACCTTCCCGCATCCTCTTTTCTTCCGAGTCTGCTCTGTGAAAAGGAGCCGCCGATTTTATGGAGGGCTGTGCGTCTCCCAGGCCTCCTTGTGCCTGGTGACCTAGCTAAGTAAGCTCAACACGAAGCTCTGTGCCAAGCCAAGGATTCTAGATCTGGGACAAACTCAGCAGTTCACTGGTTCTATTCCTCTTCCAGCCTCAGCCCTCTCCCTTTAGGACATGTGACAATGGGTCCTCTTTGCCAATGAGCCAAGCCTCATACTACTTTCTCACCACCCTGGGGAAGTTATCCCATAAGAAAAAAACACTCTGCTTTTCAAGATGTGTTAATGGCTGTTGGAATTGGGTCAGAACGACGTAATGTCTTACTCTTACCAGGAAACATTACTCTTTGCTAGAATCAAAGGATTTTGAAGAACAGAGAGAGTAACCAAGTTATAGTCATTAATCAATTGCAAACCCTTAGCGGCTTAGAATGGTGATATACACCAAAAGCATCAAAAACGAACCTACTGTAGGAAACCAAGCAATATGACCTCTAGCAACTGGATAGAGTAAGTTACAACGGTACAACAAGTTCTACACAGCCATCCCAAACTGTGCAAAAGAATGTAGGAAACTAGCATACAGAATGTTGCAATAGGTTACAGACAGTAATGGGTGATTAGTAATTTGTTTTAAATTACTAATCTGCCTACACGTACACACACACACACACACACACACACACACACACAAACATACACACAAACACACTGTGAGGACGGATGCCAAATGCTCACAGCTGGCTGTGCTACTGCAAATGATTTTTCTTCTTTCTGCTTACCTGTATTTTCTAATTTTTAAAATGAACATACTTTTTTTTGGAAATTAGAAAATATAAGAGGTGTAGTTATATGTAGAATAGAATTTGGGCACTTAATAACAAAGTTCTGTTGGGGAAATGTGGCCCAATTAGAATCTGTGTAGTTAAGCAGGATGTCTTCATTAGCAGAGCCTAAGGAAGTCAGCAAAATTAGTCCTCCGTGTGTCAAAGGCCCAGCACGGCGCCAGAAGCTTTTCACATATTAATTTGTCGAATCCTCACAGCTACCCCGGGGGGCACGTGTCATCCCCATGTTGCAGATAGGGAACTGAGGCACAGAGAGGTTTAGTCAGTTGTTTAAAGTCAAATGGTTAGAGAGTGAGTTTTAAACCTAGCGAGGTCTGACTTTGAATTGCTTGGTCTTTTGAACTTAGGGGGTAGGGAGTGAAGGACTGATAGTCTAAATATTTGTGAACTTGTTTCAGAGGGCCCATTTCACTGCCATCACAAGGCCTATTTCATTGATCTTGTAGCCAACAGTGGCTTGGACTCACCAAGAGCGAGTCAAATACCTAAAACAAGAGACATTGTCAGTTAACAAGGGCGGTTAACATCGTCAGTTAACAAGGGCAGCTGCTTACGAGGCTGCTCCAAGTGAGCAAAAGCCATGCGGCGGGGCACAATGGATGTCACAGGTGGGGACGCTATCCCTCCACTGGGCCTCTGAGGGTGCAAGCTTGGAGCCTGACCCCAGAGGAGCAGACGCAGCTCTTGACCCTTGAAAGCGGCCCAGGGGACTTAATTATATATTAATACCGTGGCTGTGTTTGGGCTACAAATCATCTGTTCTCCAAGGTACCAAGAACGA